CAAATGTGACGTCTGATAAGGGACCAATGAATGGAGAACGTCGCAGAATCATGTACTCGCACTTGCCAGGGTGAGCAGTCATCCGGTTTGTGTTGCACCAAGCGTACATTCGATGGAGTACAGCATTTATTCTGTTGACTGCAATATCGGTTGTTTCGCCAATGGTGAATATCGTAGTATCATCAGCGTACATGTATAACCCTTCTCTTAACGTTTCTCGATTGAAAGGGTTTTATTAGAGGAAATTTTAAGTTTCCAAGTGAGTTTACCAAGGGTCTCGATATTCAGGTGTCTGGTTCTTGAATCTAAACCAACTTTCGCGACATTAAATAATTCAATTCAACCAATCAACGACCAAATGACTATGAGAACAAAAAGGTGTTCAAATAATGATGATCCTGCTTGTTTGAAAGGTTTTGTCGTTTCGTTTTCGTTTCCATACGGTCTTCGTATTTCTAACTAATTTTACTTCTTTTTTTTTTTTTTCTTTTCAATTTTTAAGTCTTCTTTTTAAGTTTAAAATTTCCGGTGCAAATTTACTCAATAACGCGGAAAAAAGATTCTAATATTTCTTCAGGTCTTGACAAACAGCAATGACAGCCAAGAGTAACAACCCCAACAACAATAACAACCACGACGACGTCGACGTCGAAGACAACGACAAAAATAACAAATGAAAAAAATTAACGAGTAGCGATGGTTAAAATGTGTAATTGGAACTAAAAAACAATGTCTCGTTGAATTATATTTTCTGCCCCTTGCGAGTTAAATTGAATTAAAGTACGTGACGTCATAGCAGAACTATCCAATAAGCTGTCATCTTCAATGGCCACAATCGCTGATTTATAAGACGATGACGTCACACGCTATTTGAACAGCTAGTATTCACGAATCGCTAGATAAGCGAGAAAGATATGTGATTCATGATAACTGGCACGGCTTACTTAGTAAATGATGAACAACACAACAGAACGCAATCTAACACTGGAAACATGTTTGGAAGGCAAGGAAGAAGAAGAAGAAGACAAAGTTATCATGATTATTAAGGTGATGGCTTACGTGACCGTTCTGTTGGTGAGTCTGGTAGGAAATTCATTGATCATAGCCGTGTATTATAAAAGAAGGACATATCCATCCGCACACGGGATGCTTAACGATGCGCTCATCGTCAACCTATCTTGTTCCGACCTTCTAATGGTAATATTCGCTATACCCGAGAGAATAACCCGGCTAATTCAACACCAGCGCTGGATGATGCCGGGAAGGTTTGGGGTTCTAATGTGCAAGCTGGTAAACTTCAACGAAGCAGTTTCAATCGTGGTATCTCTTTTAACTCTTGATGTGATCGCTGTGGAACGATTCATGGCTGTGTTTTATCCTATCAAGAGATCTGTGTCTAGTCGCAAGATGAAGTCTATTATTATAGCAACTTGGTTGATTGCAGTATCTTATAATTCACCACTACTCTATTATTCACAACTGATCCATGAAGGCACTAAAACATTGTGTAATGCAAGGACTTCGATGTGGGATACAAAAACATGGCTTTTCTTCTACTTCGCTCTGGTCTCCATAACTCTAGTAACCGTTGTTGTTTGCTATCTGGCAATATTTGTTAAAGTCTCGAAAATAAAACAGAAGAAACTGAGCGCAAATCGTAGACAGAGGATGATCATTACACGGAGAGTGCAAAGAACAAGTCTAGCGATTATCCTAGCGTTTTATCTTTATCTTTGTTATTGGTTGAAACGGCTATTGTGCGCGTTCAATCACCTCTTTCACGTCTGTAAAAATCCAGTACTAGGATTCATGTCCGTATATTTGGCCATTACAAACAGCGCGTTGAATCCTATCATCTGTTTTTCCTTCAGCGCAAACTTTCGCCAAGGAATAAAGCGGTTGATAAAGCTTTAAGAAAGTCATTGTCCATCGAGTTACAGATGTGTCGTTTCAGGATTGTTCATTCGTAGATAAACAGGAAAAAAATGTCTAAATCTGCCTGGCGCCACACACTATGCGCATATTCGTGCATAATAATATTTGTACAAATCTCCCAAAATTTCTATTTTCTCATTTATTTATCCTTTAATATTTCAAAATATTGAGGTGCGCATAATCCACAAGATACGGCCTCTCTCTCTTTTGGGGGGGGGGGGGGAAGTCTAATTACCTGATTGACAGAAAATGACACAGCTCGCAAAGTGCTCACGTGTTCATCCCACAGCGCATGACGGAACCTGATGTGGTGTCTCTGGGCCAGAGGTAGAACCAAAAAACTAGCAAAGAGAGGGTCACCGAATGAAACAGCTGAATATTGGGATAATAAGGATATGTAACTGAAAGTAAAAAGAAATAAAGTTATTTCAGTTGGGTTTAAAAGGGAGTTCGATTTTCACTGATGTGACAGGTTGAGTAATGGCGAACTGTCAAAAAGATTAAAAAAGAAAATCTCTCTCACTTTTGCACAACTCCTTTCTCATTCTTCTTTCACTACTCCAACCTTTTTTTTTTTCATTTCCGCAGCAAATAAATAAATGAAAAGAAACGAAACAACAACACTACCAACGACAACAAAAACACAACAAAATTGATGCATGCAAGTAATAATGAATTTCCTATAAACAGGAGAACACGTTCCCTTGCTAAAAATAAATAAAATACCCTAGAGCTTTGCTGCTCTAACGATACCGTCCACAATAATCACACGTACATTATTCAAAATCTTGGATAAGGGATAAGCCTGACAAAATATTGAACTCACAGATCATAAAAAGAGCTGAGCCCAGCAACTTTTCCATTGAAGTCCAATTGTGAAAACGACTCTGGGCGTGTATAGATATGGAGTAGACTTTTAACGTAATTACGGACCAAACGATCAAGGAATAAGTCACTTCCTGAAGATGAAAAACATCGAACAACTGACATTAGAAACTGAAGCCGCACACAATCTTTCCCCTTTCCCTTGTCTCCTTCGCAGCCGTCATTAGTTTCGGACCCAGATCCTCACGGGCCCTCTTCACTAGTGGCCCGTGAGGATCTGGGTGCGAAACTAATG